GAGACGATCCACTATGTCATATGGGCCTTCCCATGGAGAAGACAACTTAGGAGACTTCCCTTTGGTCTTCCTGGGATTATACAACCACACCTTGTCTTCTGGTACAAAGCTGTCTTCAAAAGATCTCTTATCATAACATAGCTTCATCGAATCAGCAGACGTTTTCAAGTTTCAACACCCTTGATGGTGAATATCATCCATCCTTTCAGATAACACTTTCACAAACTCTGGCACATTTTCAGGCAACTCTTCATAAAGTGGGCATCCTGTTATCAGGTCCACTGGCAACCGAAGTTCTCGATCAAACATCAGCTTTGCTGGAGTGTATCCAGTGGCTTCATGCTCTGCTGTTTTATAGGCCATCAACAGTGGAGGGAGTAAGACATTCCAGTCATCTTGGTGGCTATTACAAAACTTTGCCAATTCCTGTCCAAGTGTCCAATTGTACTTTTCTACCATCCCATCAGACTGTGGGTGAAGTGGCGTTTTCCTGGTCTTTCGTATGCCAAACAACTTATAGCATTCATGGAACACAGCTGATTGAAAGTTATGGCCTTGATCCAAATGCATTTCGTATGGCATACCAAATCTGAAGAAGAATTCACTAATAGCCAAAGCTACAGTTGTAGCTTCCTGATTTGGTATTGCATATGCCTCAGGCCACTTGGTGAAATAATCCATCACCACACAAATGTTCTTGTTTCCAGCACGAGTTTGAGACAATGTCAATGGCTAATATTTCCATTGGTGTACCAACTTGATATAACTTCATTGGAGCACGTCACTTATGCTTGGGTCCCCTTTTAGCACAAAATGTACTGCATGTCCTGCACCATTCTTCCACATCTTGCCTCATACCTATTCAGTAAAATATCTGTCGTAGGTGACTCAATGTCTTCTTAACTCCGAGATGTCCTCCTGTTAAACTATCATGGGATTGACGCAGCACAACTTCCCGTAACTTTCTCGGTATAACTGTTTGCCAGGTCGTCACTTTCCCATCTCCGGAGAAGAATACCATCTTCAAGCTTCAACTGGTCCCATTGTGCCCAATAGTTCTTTGTAACAGGGCTTAAGCTAGAAACCTTCTCCCAAGCAGGGCGCAAAACACTTGCTTTTAGAAAATCAATTATTGGCTTCAAATCTTGGTCTTTCTCCTGCTCTGATTTAATATCTATACCTGGTTCTCCTTCTTCATCATCAACTCTTTCAGTCACTATGACTTCAGCTTGATGGCACCTGGTTAGTTCAACCTTTCTTTTGCGGCAATGCCTGCAGTCATTTTTGCAGGTGTCTTTGGCTCAGTCCATCAGCATTTCCATGAGATTTTCCTTCTCTGTATTCAATATCATACTTATACTGGTCTAACTTTCCAATCCAACATGCCAGTTGTCTCTCTGGGTTCTTTAATGATCTTAACCAGCATAACGCAGCATGGTCTGTCCTGATGGTAAACCTGGCACCATAGAGGTAAGGATGGAAATATGTCAGACTTTTTACTATAGCAAGGAGTTCTCTCCATATTACACAGTAGTTCCTCTCTGGTCTACTGAAAACCCTACTGAAGTAGGCCACCACATGTTCGTTTTCGCCCACTTTCTGAGACAACACTCCTCCAATTCCGACATTACTAGCATCACAATCCAGTATATATGGCAGTGAGGGAATTGGAAGCTTTAGAAGTGGAGGTGAGGCCAATTTTTCTTTCATTGTGTTGAAAGCATGCTGGCAAGAAACTGTCCATTCGAACTTCTGGCCTTTTTTGTTAAATCATGTAGTGGAGCAGCTATAGTTGCAAAATCGTTCACAAACTTCTGGTAATAGGTACACAGTCCCAAGAAACTTCTTAACTCTCCCACATTGTGTGGTGTTGGCCAAACATGCACTGCTTTTAGCTTGTCAGTTTGCACACCATGCTCACTTATAATGAGACTCAAGTCTCATCACCTCTTTCTGGAACAAGTAGCATTTCTTGGGATGGAGTTTGAGGTTTGCTGCTTTAAAATTCTTGAATACGTCCTCTAGCCGGGACATTTCCTCATCAAACATTGTTGCAAACACAATGACATCATCCAGGTACACTAGAGCTATCCTCCATTGTATGCCTTCCAATACTCTTTCCATCAGCCTCTCATATGTTGCTGGAGCATTGCTAAGCCCGAATGGCATCACATGGTATTGCCAGAGACCTTGCCCATAACTAAATGCAGGCTTCAACCATTTTCATTTGATGGAAACCCGACTTTAAGTCTAGAGTTGAAAACAAACTTATTTCACTTAAGGCATCAAGAGTATCATCAATTTTGGGCAGTAGGTATGAGTCTTTCTTGCTTGTATTGTTAAGAGCCCTGAAGTCCACACAGCAACGTTGGGTCCCATCCTTCTTCTGGACTAACATGATGGGAG